CTGTATATGAAATTAATCATTTAACAAAACTTTTCACTGAAAATTGAGGCTTTCTTGACATATATTTTTGATTATCAGATAAAGAAATTGAGAGTAAAATAAAGATGATGCAAATAGGCATGCATAGCTCTCATAGGATTATCCTGATTTAATTGGCTGACGGCTCCTCCCGTTAGCCAATTAAATATTGGGACATTTTCTCAAAAGTATGCTGCTCCTTTTTGAAGAAGACACAAATAAACAAAATATTACGCCTGTACACATCATTAAAATAAACTCACATGTAAGAAAGTCATTATGAAAAGCTTAAGGCTCTCCAAACAATTACCTTCTGAGCAATTATCTCCAGTAATCGTTGTTTATTAAAGGAAAAGTGGGACAGATAATGGAATTCCTACATCTTCTGGTTGCTGGGAAGGAAAAGGAAAACAGCAGTTAATGACACAAGCTGCAGTCTAGACAAGAGACAGGAAAGAGAATACCGAGAAGCATTTAATGGTCACGACCACTTTGATTCCCGTGATAGCAATGTCTTTTTCATGCTCTGTCTGCTGCCAACCACCCACCATGATTGCAGCCCACTATGTCTCCAACAACGTGATTCCTACGGCCAGTGACTGAATACGTTCAACCCCCAGTGTATCCGCCCTCTGTCCATACTGGCAGGGTGTATTACGGAAGCAGAAGGATGGAAACTGAGGTGGAAGGATTTTGAATAATTTGAGCAGCCATGAGGCGTTTGTGACCTTCGACCGTCCAAATAATGTGTTTGTATCTTGTATGTGTATCTAATCCCCAAATCCTTGTCTGGGGGCTCGAGAGTAAGTCTGAGACGGATGGCAAGTCAGATTGTTTTTTAATGCTGAGCAGTCATCTATCTATCTATCTATCTATCTATCTATCTATCTATCTATCTATCTAGCTAGCTAGCTAGCTAGCTACTGTCTGTCTGTCTGTCTGTCTATCTATTATCTACTATCTATCTATCTATCTATCTATCTATCTATCTATCTATCTATCTATCAAAGCCCAAAGTAATGTTATCAAATGTCTTATTTCGTCTGATCTATCAAAAAGCTAAAGATACATTAAAATTTTCAAAGCTGGAACCACATTTTTGCTTGAAAATAGACGATGTGAACGATTGAAAGGCTATTTAAATAGTTGACACCAGATTTTATGTTGAACTACAACATAGAATCAACTACTGGCTGCAGCTCCACATGAGATACCCTGAAGCTGTCACCATAGTTCCTCACTCATGCTTGCAACTATACTGCCAGATGCCAGTAAATCCTACACACAGGACTTTAAAGAACAATTTCCGTTTTTTTGTCACATGTTCACACTTCAAAAAACACCTTTACTGAACTACCAAAACATTTAACCATGAGACTTAATAAGACTTTTAAAAATTGAGAGATAGATTTGTTTGTGAATGTATACAATTAAAACATATACTTTGTCACTCACTACATGGTTGTGCACATAACACACACACACTACATTTCTTCTGTAAAATGTAGTTCAAATGGAAATTGTTCACAGCGAACCACTGTGAACAATACAGAATAACTGGGACCTAGTTTCATATAATACAAGTCTCATGGCAAGTTTTCAAAAACGAAGTGTTGAGGATGACAGCTTCATAGAACGGTGAGAAAACACCCTAACTATACAAAACTTACAAAGTGCAAAGTGATAGCCAATAAGTCTGCGTCCTCAGCAGACAACAAACCATCACCTATCACGGAAATCTCTGAAGAGCAGCAGTCGCTCAGTGGGTGAGGTCGTCCGGAGGAAGTAACGCCTTTCTGATCATTCGTTGATGTCTCACACCTATCCACCAAGCCCTCTTATCACCAGCCATTGTCCCCAAGAGATATGATAATGGGCACCCTGTCTCTACCCCAGAGTGCTGGACATCTGTGAGGGAGGGGCTGGCTTCCACTTTCTCTTGGCCACTTCATGTGTTGCCAAACGGGAAACAAACAGGCATTGTGCTTCAGCTTTGCTGCTGCACTGATGCCCATAGACTGTCCCTGTTTATAGACCCATCACTTAATTGTGGCCTCACACAGTTATGTCCATTCTCCGCTCTTTCTCCATGATAACTGCAGCTATTGAGACTGCACTGAGGTCTAATGGTTGCTCTTTATTCCTGCAACATGTATGTGTTATTGGCAGTTCTTAAAATGTATTTTTTGTTATTTGCATTTCTATATGGAAAAAAGTAAAGTGGAGAATATGCAGTTGTACCAGCATGGCACACACAAAGGGTCTCAGGTTAAACTTCTATCAACAAACTCACAGCAAGACTTTCCATTATGGACTGTTGACCTTTTCATGAGAGCATCACAAAAAATAAAATTAAAGACACACGTCTGAATTTGCATGACTAGCAGCCATACCAAGGTTGCTCAGTGTTATGCAAAAAAAGCTGATGTGAATGTGAGTAATTCTCTGATTGTATTTCACTCTCTTCTCCTCGGGGGTGCTAACCATGTTTGAGGGTGTTGATTAGATAGCAGCCCCTACCCACATTTGCAATTCCAGGCCTCGCTATTCTCACATGCACTTGTTGTTGTGTGGTTGTTCTGCGGGTTGAGGATAGTAGTTAACTCATAAATGATCAATACAGTGCTCATTTTTACTGAATGTCATACAAGTCTCTTTCAATGTGGCGGATTTTTCTGAAAGTCGTGGAATAAACTTCGGGGCAACATTAAAGCATGGATGTATTTCAAATTTACAATTCCCATCTCGCCTTTTTGGACTAAAGGATTAAAAAACTTTTGGCTTCAGAGGCACATAAGCAGTTTCACACATTTTAGTTTGTCACATTCTGGTAGTGTCATGTTGTTGAAATATCAATTTTACCATGCCTGGATTATCTATTCAGGGCTTGAAGGCAGCATGATGTGTTCACACTCTGTCAGCAGTAGCCTCCACCCTGAGCATCTGTGCAACCCTTGGAGATGTCTCATTTCTGGCCTTCAGCTGTATCGTATGGCCTATATGTCTGTGTACAACACATTTACATTTAAATTGCAAACGTGTCTTTGTCTTCAAACACAAACCAGAAACACTGAGCTTCATCTATAAGGTGTGAGTTAAAGGCATCCACTATACATTATGATGATCGCTGGGTGCCACTGGGTAGCACCAGAAGGCATTTGGCCCCCGCCCTCGGTCTTACTTTAGCCGTCTGTGCTAAACTAGCTGCATGCGCTCCCACAATAAAAGTATTGACGTCACTGGCCATCATTGGACACATGCTGCCTTCAGGTTCTCCTCCGAAGCTTCGATTTCTGGACACTTACGTTGTAGATCTGACTTATTACTGATACTATTATCTCTAAGCACTTTATAAGGCAACTTAGTACTTTATATGATTACGTATTATCTCTTTATATTTATTTGTATTGAACATGTATGTTTCACCCTTTAAACCATTCACCATTAAATAGGGTAAAGAAAAAAGAAAGAAGAAGACCCAAGAAAAGTATCTTTTTGGTTGACAGATGTTTTTTAGTTCATGGGAGACCTATTATTAGCAGGCTTTAGAAAACGAAAATGACTCTAACACTTTAATTGGCCTGTATAATTCAGGATTTTCAGGTAATTAAAACATAATCTCATATTCAATTTCTTTTCCAATAAACCCTCCTAAATATTAAACAGTAGACCTTTAAATGCATCCTCAGACTTTCTCAGGGATGAAACAATGTTCTGGACACATTTCCATAACTGTCTCTGGTGTTTTCACCAGTACAATAATTATTTTGCAAAGGTGAATGATTTTGCAATGTACTTGTCATAGACAAATTACAGCACCCCGTGTGAGTGTGTGTGTGTGTGTGTGTGTGTGTGTGTGTGTGTGTGTGTGTGTGTGTGTTTCATGTCAGTGGTGCACACAATTAAAAAACAGATGTTTATTTTCTCAGCTGTGTCAGCAAACACCTGCAGACAGAACATATCAAATATGGTGTGCAAACCAGATTAGAGTTTAGTCTGAGGTGGGAAATGGTTGATTGCTTGTAAACACCTGGTGATTAGTTTGTTGACTGAACTGTTATGTGTTTTAAATCATACCATTTTCTAACAGCAATTGTTTGTTTATTTTTGCCAGCAATATTTCATTTGATATATTGGGAACTAGAGTTGGAGAAAACAAAACTGACCTACCGTAGGATGGTAGGATTAAACTGCTCTGGGACAGAAACATTTTATCAGGGCCCCAGTGAAGTTGCCCACTGTAATGCAGCCTAGCTCCTGTACAGGAAGTCTTACTTAAAATAACATTTTCTTTAGGTTCTTTTGTAAGTTTAAACAAGGAAATCTCAAATTCAAAGATAAGGTAAATATCCCCCATTAGGTTTTTGTAGGCCAGATAACCATCTGATTCATTCTAGTTGCTAGCTAAATAAACATGCGCATTCTCCTTCTTTTGTGTTTATTTTGTGATTCGGTGGTTAGATAATATCACAACCAGCAACTTGTTATGGGGGACGCAAGAATGCATAACAAGTATGATTTAGTGCACTGGGAATAAGAATAGCAGCACTTAGATAACAAAATATGGCTGAAACCAGAAAAACCACAATTTAGCAAATGGAAGACAATTAATACAATTTATAAAATGAAGATTAGGAATGTGTTTGACATGAGATGGTGAGTATAAGAAACTAATATTGTACAAAATAAAAAGATGTGTTAAGATACTCCCTGAGCCAAGCCTATTTTTATTTATCTTGTTTTATCTTGTGTTGTTGTTGCTGTTGTTGCTATTATTGCTATTATTTTGAAAAGTTGTGATTGTGGGGCGGGGTGGGCTGTGGTGGGAGGGATGTACAGTAGAGTGGTAGCATATAAAAATGTTGGTTCTTCATCACATGCTTTCTTTTTCTTTTCTGAAAAGTAACGACTCTAAGGGGTCACATTTCAACCAATAGGCTAAATAGTGCTTAAAAAAAAAAAAAAAAGACGCGCTGGGAACGTGTCTCACTAACGTCCGACAGTCCCTGAACGCAGCAAGCTGCAAAACTGCGAGAGAAGCGGTGATTGAAGGGGATAGCAGAGCGGCGGTGGCGACGACGGCCATCTTAGAGCTACCGTAGTAACCGACACTCATCTTCTGGATTTTATTTTTCTTGTTACACAAACATTCCGCCTGACTGACGAGGGAAGAAGAAGGTTGTTTTTTACTTCGCCGCGGTTGAACTCGAAGTCGGGATGCGGTTCCGAGGGAATACACAATTTGCATCCGCTGTCGGACTGGTCCTCGGACTATTATGTGCGGTGGAGGCAGCTAAAGGTAACTAAGCTGGGATTTATATCCCGTTGTGTTTTCTCTGTCTCTTAGACAGGTTGTTTTTTTTTTTTTTTTTGTCGGCGGTTTGGAAACGTTGAGAGTTAACGGTTCTCCGGAGCTTTCCGGTTGTTTCCAGACGTTGACGGTTGAAATGAAAACGTTTGCGGGGCTGTGCGGTCCTGTGCGGTCCTGAGGGATGAATGTTCAATAACCTGCTCAGGGATGGTCAGCTCCGCAGCCGCAGCGGATGGATGTCCCGCCGGTAGCAAGTGCACCCCGCGATACTTGCATCAATTTCAACCGCAAATCACACATTATATTCCAACTACGGTTATTATGTTTGCGGGATATTTTTTTTTATCTTTAAAGCGTAGGTTAAATTCCCGAAGTAGGGTACTTTGGAGATAATATCAAGGCCACGAAACGACCCCCTTCTGTCATCTGCATTCAGTCTATTTTTGGGTCCTTGTCTCTTCTTGTCGCTTCCTTACAGTCTGATTTAAGATTGAACATATTTCCCACCTTATGCAGAGTTTGTAACATTTTTTGTTTTTTTAACTTCCCAGTGTCTGGTACTCTCTGTACTCATCTTGGTTTTAAATGTATTAGAGCACATTTGAATTAAAGCGAGTGATGCTATGTTTCTTTACCCCCTCTCTTTTTATATATAGATTAAGTGTTATTAAACCTCGCAGGTTAATTCTTCCATTAGTAGGCCTAATGCTTGTTTTGGCAACGTTGTGGTCGCACCAGGATGGAGCTTGGTTGGCTACGCATTGCAGATCCTCTTCACAAGCCCCTGTTTTGTCGGAGGATTTAAAAATTAATGTGCTGTGATCACAGGTTTAAGTAAAAAAAAGCCCTCTCCTAGGTCCGGGCCTACCTTTTTATGAGCAGAGAACAGAAAGTGTAACAGCACTCTTCATGTGCAATGTCACCCATGGACACCATCACACACTGAGGAGAGACATGCCTTTATTTGCTGCAGGGCGGTCCACCTCCCTCCTTGCAGCTCACTGCTCATACATTAACACCCTCATTGCATGGATTTATAGACTGTGTTTTAATGTTGAACTCAAATCCACTGACGCCCCCAGTGTGAGCTTCATGTTTCAGGGTGTGTAAAGGCAGGTGCTTATTAGTCACTGGCCATATCAACATGCCCGGGCAGCCGCCAACGCTGGAGGCCAGTGTGTGTGTTGTTTTCTTTTAATGTCACACCCGTTTTATGCTCTATGAAGAAAATAATGACTCTGGAAGGGGATATAGACACCCATAAAAGTCTTCACGGGGGCTTCTAACACAGCCATATTTTTTCCTGTTGCCATGTCAAGCAGCTGAGAATGCACAGCAGCGGGAGGCTACCATTTGTAAAGCAGTAACTTAATTTATTTTTTCATCAATCAAAAGGGAAATGCCTGTAGCAGTTAGTCCTGGGTAGTGTGTGAATCTGGCTTTCTGTTTTTAATGTTATAGCCAAGTGTGTGTTTTGTATTGTGCACCTGCTGCCTTTTCCTGCCCTTATCAGCAAAGGAGGCAGCCTGTGAAATCACCATCTTGGTGAGGGCTTATCTTTTATTAACCAAAGGTCACTTGCGTATGTTGTGCACCACCTCTCGTCACCTGCAGTCCTGCTTTGTGTTTTAATGGCTTTTATTACCAGCCACCTTGCAGCAGATGAGGAAGTAAATACTTTTTTTTGTTTTCATTCCTCAACCCTCTCAGTTTAGATGTCTACAAATGATTTGTTTTTATGGCTACAGAAGCAGTGTGAGATAGAGCTTCAGCACATTCAGGTGAATTTAACAGCATTGGCACTGGATGTTGTGTTCCTCAGCTGTTCGCCTACACACACATTAATCACCGATGACATGGCTACAACACACCTTGAGAGATATGCTGAAAAAATATGTTTTTGATACACATCAAAATTCTTACCTAAACTACGTGATTCATTACACTGGCAGCAAGGAAATGTCAGTGTGTGTAAAACTGGTGCATACTCAGATCATCTGAGGCAGGCCTGTTAGCTTCAAAGCATCCTAGGCTTTTAACTCTTTCATGTTGTCCACTGCTGCTGATATTTTTTAAGACACTTTTTGGAGTTTCTCGTCTCGTCCGTTTTCAAGGTCTCATTCATGTAATATGTTTACTTTTCTGTTACCATGAGCAGCTGCTGCAGGGTGTCTTCATGTTGGAGAGTCAAACATTAGGTCTGCTGAGAGGCATGAGCTTCCTCTGTGCACACACAGCCAGACAAAGGAAGAGCTGGCTGCTGGGAAGTTTCTTGGCTCATTCATCATCGAATTAAGTAATTCTAGTTGAACAAATTGGATGCCCCTGCTTTGTGTGGTGCTGAGTTAACATATGCGCTCTCCTCACATGGCTGTAAAGAAGTACATATTACAGGTTAGATGTGTTCTCTCTCCCAGTCCTCCTTGTTTTACAGTCACTGGAGAAGCCTAACATTGATCCACTGAAAATTGCACGTCAGGTACGCTTAGAGCAATGTACCGGGTCAATATTTTTCTTTATAAAGTATAATTTATTGGTCCGTGATGAGGCGCACCTTTGAGATTTCTCCCAGATCTCAACCTCATTAAAACATTCTCTTTATTTTGTGTTTGTGTAAATAAATAAAACAGAATAAAAAATACTTAACACATTTCCTTCTTATGCACAAAAAATAGCTCTAGAGCATCTTTTGTGTTTTTACTTAAAGAGATTGAATAATTATGAATCTTCAAAACATCCATCAGTGCATTTTTTGTTATATCAACTCATTTATTAATCATTTCAGCTGTAGTCTAAATTTGCATTCATCATGCTTATTTACATTTACAGCTTCACTTTATTAATAACATAATTGATATCGGCCTTGAAGAAACCCTTACTGGTAAAAACCTTTTGCCCTTGCTTATGTAATTCAATCATCCCAAATAGGTCTATTGATTACAGGTTCTCAGAAACCAAAACGTAGGATGATCACCATCAGGGACCTTGTTGACCCCCGGGGAAATAAATATGCTCACATTTCCTATTTGTTGGAGACACTTAGATTCCACATTTTAAACCCTTGAGCTGCCAACAATCTGTGTGACGTATGTCATTTTGCTATGTTATGGCAAACAGAGAACTATGTGGATGTGCTCAGATGACAATGACTGCATTGTTTGCCTCTCCCATGCAACTCTACTAACACTGTTGTAGGCCATAATCCAGCGTCAGTTTACAGACTTGTTTTTCATCAGGAGTAACATTAAATATCAACAGGCTGATGTGATGACATCGGGAAAGCCGCAAATCAGTTCCACGTGTTTCACTTTGAGCATGTCGGGGCTTTATCAGCTGGTGGAACAAAAAAGAAAATGTCAGCTGTCATCAGTCCTTCACTCTCTGTGGTTTTTGATTGATAGGACCTATTTCATCTGATGTTCAGTGATCTGCTCCCCGTATTCCACAGTGTCTTGTCACTACAAGATTCATGGCTTCAGCTCATCAGTCATTGAACACAGATACAACTAAAAAGGACTCAGAAAGCACATACCTTTGCTGATATTGCATATTCACAAAAATGTGCTGCTTTAATTCTGATTGGCTGATGGATTGCATTTTGAAGAATACTTCAAGTCTGCCTAGGGATATTAGGGCAGATGGCATCGACATTTGCAGGAATGTTCAGAGTTATTATGTGTACTTTAATAAAATTTGACTGCAGTTTCACAATGTCTTCAAGAGTTGGTTGATGGTTATCAGATATGCCATGCCCACAAGATATTGGCTGTCAATTATAGAAAAATGAAATATCAAAAAGCAAATGTATAAACTTTGTCAAGCTCAATTGAATATGTATAAAATCTATGAAGATTTGTTGGAAGAATAAAGGAGAAGAAAATTCTAAAATAGTGGGAAAACTGTTCAGGCAGAAATAGGTGAGACCAACACTAGCACACATAGATTGGTGTTGCATGGTGGCGCTATCCACAGTCCAATCTAATTACTCGCTCTTTGGGTCATGGCCTACATTTGCACAAATTTTCATTAAAATCTGTTATGTATTTGTTGAGCTATCCTGCTGACAAACAACTGGGCCGAGATAATGAAGGAACTTTGCACTGTTATTAAAGTGGGATTTAATAGTGATTACTGCTTATGTGGGCATAAGAACCATTACCAAACATTTTACCCTGTATTGCCCTGAACAACAGTTTATTTGCCCTACACAAAGACCCTGTTCCCACAAGTTAACTCTTAAACTTTTTCAGTATTTATTCAGAGATTTCTCAGGGGAACAAAGGGCTCTTAGGCCCAGACTTCAGGGTCAGGATCTTGACTAAGAATGTCACAATGTGGTCACTGTTCGAAGGATTGCGACTCAAGCCCTTGAAGAATGTGTATATGAGATAATCCACCGAAAGTGCTAAGTTGTTGAAGCGCTTCGATTTGGAAATTTGCCAGTTAGTGCTGGAAAGATAGGCCATGAGAATACTGGACTCAATTTGGGTCGGTGGTGACTTTCCTCTCATTGGTGCCTTTACGGGCTGAATGGAGTCAGTGAACTGTCAACAATGGGTCATTCAGTTGTGAATATTAAGTCGTGCCAGATGACTGGGAAGTTATGTTGACCACCAAGGACTTTACATTCACATGATTCTTCTTTGGTTTGCATTTTGAGTGCAAGTGTAGAGCAAAACGTAATATTCAGAAATGAAAACACCAATGTGAGAAAGTGTCAGAATATCCAGGATTTTAATGAATTTATCCTCATATTGTGTAATGATATAGCTTAGTAAAAAGATCAGCTCAAATAAGCTTAGTCAGTTACATGATTTTATAAAAGCAGCATCTTAGTTAGATGAAGATGTAATAGCAAAAATAACCTTTTTCTTCATTAAAATCTTAATATTGAAATTGAGTGCCTTAACTCTGAAAGTAATAGCCAATGGTGCACATTTTATTGCATTATTTTTTTATGAAGACTGTAATAAAAAATAGATCTTAGG